AGATTGTTGTTGGGGGCAATATGCTGACTCTGTAAACCGCTTAGAGAGGGCTGAAAGCCCTATGAAGCGGTATATAAATCTAACTGCTATTGCTAAATGCATTTTTAATGCAGTTTTGTTGTAATGTTCTCAGGTCTAAAGAAGCCGAGGTGGTAGATCAGGGATGACTAACCTTTTCTAGACTGAGTGGCCAAAAGCATGCATACAAGCACGTGCCCGCGCCCAAACCCCCAAAATGCAATGTGTGCACCCCCTGTGCATACACTCCACCCCTGTGCATGTGCACATGGCTCCCATGCACGCATGTGGACCTCCCCACGTATGCCCCCCACACATGGGTGGCAGAAACCCAAAGATTAGCTGGCTGGCGGGAGGTGCACGAATATGCGCAACGGAGCTGAACTGGGGTGATGGCTTGCATGCCATCAGAGAGGGTGCTGCATGCCATCTCTGGCACACTTGCCATAGGTTTGCCATCATGGTTCTAGACCAGTGATGGCGAACCTTTTTGGCACTGAACTGGAAACGCGCATGCATGCACCAGAGTCCCAGAAGCTGGCCAGTGTGCTCCGGACATGCAAAGATCAAGAAGAACAGTTGGTGATGGTGCACGTGCTGACAGAGAGAGTCTGCGTGCCACCTCTGGCATACGTGTGCCATAGGTTTGCCATCACAGTGATACATGTTGCAGTGCCAAGTGAGAGTGACCTCAGGAAGAAGGAGAAGCTGGGGAAATACCAGAGGAAAGTTCCTTAAAGAGGAACTGGAGAAGCTGAGGAAAGTTAAATCCAAGTAGTGGTAGGAGATCAGGGCTAGGACAGGGCTGGGACAATGGCCCCAAAAGATCCCAGGAATGACACCAGAACTCTCTATCCAAAAAAGTACCATGTTAGGAACTGCGAAGATACAACACAAAACCTTAGGTCTCTGGTCAAGATCCCAAATTGACTAAGAAGAAGGTTTTGAGAAGATACCCCCCATTGAGCTGAGAAAGGACTTTTATATACATTGTGGTACCTTGGTACTCATCATTAATTGGTTCCAGATAAATATCAAAAACACTGAGCACCAAACATGTTTTTCCCATAAGGAATAATGTATTGAGTCACAAGGCAGCCAACACTGACAAATTCTAGCTTGTGCGCTGAATACCAAACAAATGATGAGTACT